AAATAAAAGAAAAGCACAAGATTAAAAAAGTCAGGTGCCAAGGATTGAGGCCCTGTTTGATGAACTGTCAGAACGACCAAAAGAGTGTAGTGCTTAGTCTTCATTCATGTTTTTTGGGATGCGCCACGTATTTAAATTCCAGCGCCGTAGCGGAATATGAATGTAATCTGTCCTTCACAATGACGTACTGTGGCTGGCCTAGAAACCTTCAGCGTTAAGATTTTTGTTCCACCCAAAAAAAAGTGCGGGACTAAATAACCGACCTAGAGGGATGATGGTTTGACTAGCCTCAACGAGAACAGGTCGTGGCCCTGTTGGCACGCTGGATTAATCAAAAAACAACAAACGTGCAGAATTTACAACTAGAAAATCAAAACTGCGCAACTGCCGTAAATATCAAAAACGTTGCCATACCTTAACAGGCAGGATTTCTTTGGCACATTGGGCTGCCTCATCTCCAGCGTGACCGTCGAACAATCCAAGCAGAAGAAAATCAAGCTGAAACGTCTATATAAAACTTTGTTCTGTTCGATCAGAATCGAATAGTTCGGATGTTACCTTCCCAAAGGTGAAAATCGATAACCCTAAAGGAATCGTCCACGGAAAAAAATCATGATTCTATTTCACCCATAAATCACTGGCTTGAGACCCATCATTCACGATAAGAATGAAAAGAACAGAAAAATTGCGTTTGTTTTGGTAAACAATTCGAAAAATTCGAAAACCCGAAGGACTGCTACGCGTTCAAATTCCCGCCGTACATCTGTCACAAATGTTGGCGACGGGAACTTCCACTTGGTTCTCGGAGTGCCCACTAGAAACTCTTTCTGGCCTTTTCCACCTATGGCAATAACATTTCTCTTTTCTACTGCATCCTATTTTATCGATCGTTTTGTCTCCATTCTCCAAATTCGAGCACTTTCACCCGATTTTCCCGATGCGTCACCTGATGGGGCGTGGCCGCCCAGGACGCACTTCTCTCCATGCATCCCCTTGTTTCCACCCCACCTACCCTCGACCATCCCTAGAGTGTGGTTTTCATAACTCAGTTTCTCTTCGGGAAGTGAATCTTCTCGTGCGAAACTTTATATTTTGTCTTTAATGATTACAGCTGACATATTCATTTTGAAAAGGAATGCGAGGGTAGGGGAATGACCTCTTTAACGTAGAGGGAAGGTGAGCACTGCTCTTTAAAAGAAAAGCTTCACCTCCCTGATTTCAGCATATTTCTTCCATCACCACTATTCTCCTGGGAAACTCAGAATACGACATCGTCGAAAACTGCAAGCCCAACCTTCTTCGTCGAAAAAATCTCCAGGGCAGAGCTGACCTAATTGAATATAACCACGGAGACAACTGTGGAATTCCGTAAAGCAACACCACCAGACCTCCATAAAATAAGGGAAGGGCATGGACGGACGAGTTTTCTGAACTTGCTCGCTCCATGGCTCCACTAACTCGCGCGAACTTGAATTAATCGCTACCCGTATTCCACGCTCGTATCGTGGGTTGTGCGGGAGGTGTCCTGTTTATAAGTAAAGCAACAGTCCCAGCAGGGTGGGCGTGGTCGGAAACGACTGCAATCCCCTCGGCCGATTCCGACCACGCCCACTTCAGCTCCCTCCCTAGCGGCTTTCCAAGGTGAGTTTTTGTTCAGTCACACTTCTTACGTTCTTGACTAGGGGCTGAACAGCTCCGAAGTGGGAATCGGCCGAGGGATTGCAGCCGTTTCCGACCACGCCCACCCTGCTGGGCTGTTGCTATACGCATAAACAGGACACCTCCCGCACAACTCACGATACGAGCGTGGAATACGGGTGGCGACTAATTCAAGTTCGCGCGAGCTAGTGGAGCCATTGAGCGAGCAAGTTCAGAAAACTCGTTCGTCCG